CACTGGCTGCTCTTCCAGAGGTCCTGAGTTCAATTCCTAACAACCACATGGTGGCTCACAACCATCTATAATGAGATCTGGTGCCCTCTTCTGGCCTGCAGGTGTACATGCAGGCAAGACACTGTGTACATAATAAATAAATAAATCTTAAAAAAAAAAAGTAGAGACAGGAGGATCAGTTTAGTTTTAAGGGAACGACTACAAAGTGAGTTTGAGCCAGCCTGGATTTCATGAGACCATTTCTCAATAAAAATATATAAATTTAGTTTAATAAAAAAGAAGAAAGCCTTCTCTCTAGTGACACCTAATAACATATTAAAAACTATGCCAAGGAAAAATGGCAGGCAATACCTATAATGTGAGGATCTATCATCTTTCTTCATAATACCTTTTTCAGCTAAGAAAGTTCTTAGGGGCCACCTAATTTACCCTTTTGCAGCATTCTCTCTTGGTTTCACTTCTTGAGTTCAGTTTGGGTCACTTACTACACTTATCTGAGGCCATGAAGCTATGCTTCAGCCGTACCTACATGACTCCATATCACACTAAGCCCTGTAAAAACAGATACATTGGAGGGGCTAAAGAATCAGGAAAGGAGGCTGGGAAATGGCTCAGTGGGTAAATGCTTCCCTTGCAAGTATAAAGGCCTGAATTTGGATCCCTAGCCCCTGTGTAAAAAAAAAAACAGGCATGGCAGTGTGCACCTGTAAGCTCATCCCTGAGACAGACAGGAGGAGCCCCTAAGTTAACTAACCACAGTCCTTACAGCCTACAGCCTTTTGCTAAGCTAACTAGCCAGCTAACTCATTTATGTAGGTCTGCTATTGCTTCAAATCTGAAAAAGATGAAAGCAATTTATTAAAGGAGCCTTTCCCAAAGCATACTATACTCCTGCACACTAGTTATCCCTAATTGGGTATTTTGAAAATAGCCCAAGTAAATCTGTTAATTTAATCAAAGTTAAATACATTTCTTTGCTGCAATATTTCTTAGCATCTTTCTTCCTATAGTGCTGGGATCAAACCTAGGGCCTTGAGGAATGGCAAACAAGTACTCTGCCACTGAGCTACAGTTTTACTCCATGGTATTTTAAGACAAAGACTTGCTATGCAGCCTATGCTGGCTTCAAATGTACAATCCCGCCTCTGCTTCCCAGGTGTTTAGATCACAGGCATACACAACATGCCAGGAGTCTTAGAGGCTTTGGTATGGAGTCTTTAGGAGATATTATAGAGATGTCTAAACTCACATGATTATACAAGTCATCCTTTGAAAAGAATCCCAGGGGATGTGTGTTCTTACAGAGTACATCTTGAGAGCACTGGGGGAAGAAGACAGTATTCTCTGAGTATTATAATTGATTGCTATAATTGTACTACCCCAAAGATCAGACAATATGAAAAAAAGGTCAAATTTGGTTTGAAATCTGGAAGTTTCATAGTATGTGTGTATTCAAAATTGCTACTACGCTTTTTCAACTCTCTGTGTTAGACTGCTTTCTGCTGCTATGACAAAATGTCTGAGGCTGGATACAGTACAAAGGAAAGCAGTTCATCTAGCTCAGTTTTGGAGGCTGAAAGTTCAAACAGCATAACACTAGGTTTAGTGAAGGCCTCTTTAGCTGGTAGGTGACATCTTGGTGGCAGTATGTCTGAGAGAAAGACATCATATACCCAAACAAGGTCCCAGAAAGCTGGGAGTGGCCAGGCTCATTCTTTTCTTGAGAACTTAATTTGTATGAAACTAACCGAGGTTCCACGAGAAAGTACTTTTTAGAATTCTCTATTTTAGATTTTTATTTCATGAATTTATTCATGAGGGGACACACCCCAGTACACACATAGCGATCAGAAGCCAATGCTCTCTTTATACCATGTGGGTCCTAGGAATCAAACTTAGGTAACCAGGTTTGGCAGCAGGTACCTTTACCCACAGAGCCATCTTGCAGATCCTCCATGAGAAATTACTTGATCCCTCCAAAGGATGATGCAGCCAATGACCCAATAACTTTACTTTATAGACCCCCACCTTTTAGAAGCTCCAATACCTCTTACCAATTACACTGGTGGAGCCGGTTGAAACTGGTGGTGTCAACACAAGAAGGACAGACCATAGCACTTTATATCATATAAATGTATTTTGTAGAAAGAAATCAAAATTTATATTCTTCTGCTTAACACCTTTAATATTTTTAACCCTTCCAGCTGGCATTGGTGGCACACACCTTTAATCCCAGGACTTGGGAGACAGTGAATTCGAAGCTAGCCTGGTCTCCAGAGTGTGTCTCAAACAGACACTGCACTAAACATTGTTTTTATTTCCTGCTAAACTTTTCCCACTACATTTAAAAATTATAAAAAGTGGTGATTGCTAGTTCCCCTCTAACATTCACAATTCTAGACTCCCCTTCCCCACTTCCTAGACACACAGTGGCCCTTACTTACTGAACTAGGGTTCTTCATGGAATCTTAAGTATTGTATAAACCAAATCAATATCCCTGATTTTCTTCTTTTATTTTTTTTAGACAGGATCTCGATGTGTAGCACTTGGCCCACAACTTGTATGGCCTAGAACTTAGAGACTTACTTGTTTACCTCTCCTTCCCAAAAGCTGGAATTAAAGGCTTGTATTACCATTCCCAGTGTTGTAACCCTTTTGAGACAAGTCTGGTTGTGTAGCCTGGGTTGGCTACACAAGATCCTCCTGCTTCAACCTTGGAAGGATAGGCAAGTGTCACCATGCCCAGCCAATGTTGTCCCTTTTTATTATTCAAGTGGTTAAAATCCACTAGAATGTTAATTTAAATACTGAAGGGAAACTAGTCATGATAATTACCAGTTGGGAATTTCATTGTTCTGCAATATATTTGTTTATGCTTTCCAACTACACCATGAGCTCTCTAAAGTAAGCTCCTCTTATGCTTTATGTCTAATCACCAATAAACCTTCTAATACAATAGTTCCCACAAATTCCTCAGGGGATGATTGCAATGACAGGCATATAGCTCCAAATGCCCTTGAATGTAATAAAACGTGCCAGGAGATCCATGATTCAAAATAAATATCTGCATTTTTCTAGAAGATGCAAGATGATGTAACCATAATTGTGTTGAATGCAGTTTTATGGTGAAGTGTTAAGGTAAATTCTAGAAAGGCAAGTATTGAAGGTAGCTACTAAAATATGTATGTATTTATGAATATATCATTGGTAAAGAGTCAACATAACAAAATATGACTCATTGTAAACATTCTCTAACTGTCCTTCCATTATTATGGGGCAGTTACTGGCTGGTTTTAATAATGTATATATAAAATGAATTGCTATTTATATTCTTATCAAAGGTGTTACAAAACTGTCAACTAGCAAAGGTCTTTGCATTCTAATAGATTAATGATCCTTTATTTTCCTGTCAATAGGTTGAGGAATTACTTTTAAGTAAGTAGACACAGAAGATTTTACCACTTTTAGGACACAGCAAGCACTCTCAGTAAATGCTTTTTTTTTCCTGACCCTGAAATATCTCAAAGTTCAACTCTGAGTAAGATCACAAATGGAAGATGCTGTAACTGACCTCAAGAGTGGTTAAACTGGAAGGAATCTTAGAAATCATGGGGATATCTTCATTTTACAGATGAGGCACAGCAAGTTTTACAAACTGTTTCAATCAGAGGAGGCTGATTGAAAAGGGAACACAAATGTCTTCATAGAATTCTAAACAACATCAAAAAACCTTCAACACCTGTGAAAGCTAGCCTTACTATTTTCCTACTTCCCACACAAAAGTAAAAACAAACAAACAAAAAAACCTAATATACAAGCAAGCAAGGCAGTTCCCTTATTATCTCCTCGAATTAGTGTCAGGCCCAGGAATGGAAGCCAAAAATTTCAATGTTGGACCTTCTATATATGTAGAATGCACTCATTCGGAATAGATGCTGTTTGGGAGTGAGGGGAAGCCATGTTCTGGAAGTTCCTTAATGGAGTTCTTTATTTCACAAGCAGAGTACTTACTGAGAGATGTGAAAATGCTTGCCTACAGGAGTTCAATTGATCATGTGATTTAAAGAAACAAAACAATACATTGCCAGTTTCCTTACCTCCCTCTAAAATAAAGTACTTTTCCATCTCAGAAACTGGAAATACGCTTTAAATGCGATCTAATCTCACATATCCAAGGAATTCTGTTTCTGTAACGTCTGTCATCTTTGTACAATCTTTCAGGTTCCTCAGTGGACATTTAGAATGAGACTATTTACTTGAGACCCTCTTCATTTAGAAAAGTATTTTCTCTTGTTATCATGCCGGAGCGTTAAGTACCGATCAATGAAATAAAGGGAAAGTTGCAGACAAAACGCAATATTTTTCACATCAAAGCATACCAAAGATGACAAACTTTAAAGGCAACTCCACCCTTCAAACACAAACACATACACAAACACCCAGTTGTGTCGTTGACTCCGAATTTGTATTTAGTTGTTTTCCAGGACCCAAGGGTCATGGCCCAGTATTTTCTGATGACCACAGTTGGTGCTGTCAGATGTTCAAACCGATTACCGCATGGATCTCTCTGTGAACCGTTCCGAGGGAGCCCAGGCCACAACCCCGGCTGGACTTCTGCTTGCTGAGAACTAAAGATTTATCACAGACTAGGGAACCCCACTAGGCATTTCCCCCGGCCCGAAAGAGGCTTGGTCAAGGCTGGAGAGGGGAATCTAGGAGGAAGGTCGTTGAATAAGGGCGTATGTGCGAAGTCGAGTTTGAAGAGAAGGCAGCGGTGGACCCAAAGGGACCAAACGCCTAGAAGAGCAGATAGAGCTGGAGAAGACTAGGCGGCCCAGGTTCGGACGGGAAAGGAGACAGAAAGGGAAAGGGGCAGGAATCCGCGCTAAAGAAAGAAGAAACTGCGGAGGAGGAAGTAGCCCCTGGAAGGGGAGGGGCGAAGGGGAAGCGAGCACCGAGCGCTAGCACTTTCGAGAGCCCGTAGCTGGTGCCTCCCTACCTGAAGCGCTCCTGCCCCGCCGTGTCCCAGAGCTGCAGCTTGATCCTCTTGCCCGGCTCAATCTCCAGCAGGCGCGAGAAGAAGTCGACTCCAACCGTGGGGTCGCAGGCTGGGGAGCGCAGCCCTGGGAAGCGGCCCTGGGTGAAGCGGTGCAGGAGGCACGACTTGCCCACCGTGGAGTCCCCGATCACGATGAGGCGGAACTGATAGATCCAGATAGTCTCCATGGCTTATGTGCCCTGCGCGTTCAGGGGCAAGTTCTACCACGGGAACTGTCCCTTCAGCACCTCCGCGGTGCGCGCCCGCTGGCTTCCAGCATTTTCCTGCGGCTGCGGCCGCCGCCTGGTCGCCGCCCTCTGGGTAGGGAGGGGCGGGACCGCGGGCAGGGGGCGTGGACTTGTTCTGCCTGGGGCGGGTCTTGAAGATAAGGGCGGGGCCACAAGTTAGGGCGGGATAGCAGGTAGAAGTGTTTTCATGAGCTGGAGGCGCGGATCCAACTTGCAGAGGCGGTGTCTCGGGCTGAGGGTGGGGCCCCAACCATAAGGGGAGGGGACTGACGTTCTGGGGGCGGGTCCTCGAGATTAAGGGGCTGGGGGTCTCGGACTAGCGGAGCGAGGCGAGAGCCTCCGCCTAGGATGTGGGGAAACCGGACACCGCCAGACTACAGTAAAGCACTCTAGTCCAGCTCTTGCTGGATGCGAACCAGGAAGTGGGTGTGGCAAAAGGACGTGACAGCTATAGTAACCAACGAAAATGTATTGGAGGACTAAACACCAGGAAGTTCAGCCAATGGGAAGTGAGAGTCATTTTCTCTCACGCATCTCGGTGGGCACCTCATAATAGGACTCTCATCTCGGAAGTAGGCATGGAGCTACTTTGTGTGGGTGTTTGTGTGGTGTTTCTGTGTGTGGATTCGTGGTGTCCTGGCTTTCAGAAGACTTCAGTTAGCGACTTTCTGCTGAAGGAAACGAATTTGCAGACCTAGTTCTGACTGTTTCTGTTTAGGACTGCCTGTTGCTTTTTGCCACAGCGTTTTCAGGACTAGACAAGAGAAACGTCCAGTTCTAGTCTTGTGCTCTGTAGGGCCCTCCAGCCGGGGAAAAAGGTGAAATGTTGAGAAGCTCAGACAAGTCATCATTTTCCTCGGCCAAAGCTGCTCTCCTCTTTTGTCTGGTCAATGATCTACTAAATGAAGCAGAACTTAAAATTTGGTGAGATCTTATTATGTTCTCATACCTTCCCTCAAGTTTGATGATAGCTAATGCAAAAGTTCTCTTCTTGCCTGGGGATGTAGCTCAGTTGGTAGAGTTGGTTAGCAACATGAAACCCTGGGTTCAGTCTCCAGCTCCATACAAACCAGGTGTGGTGGCCCACGGCTATAATTTCTGCACATGGAGGCTTGAGGATCGGAAGTTTAAGAGTATCCTCGGCTACACAGCAAGTTATTGGCCGATTTAGCTTTGAAAGATCAAATCAAAGTTCAACAGCTTTAAGATGTGCAATTATTAAGACAAAATTTGTGACTAGAGTTCTACAGCTCAGTGGTGGCGCTCTTGGCCAGCCTTAGGTTCCATCTTCAATACTGCAATAGTTTCCCCCAACCATTTTGTTCTTTTTTTGCATACGTTTAACAATCGCTTCTCATCCTTACTTCCTTTTCTCTGTCATACATCTTTAGGGGGATTTCACTCCCATTAGTGGGTCTTTATTTTATGTGGTATGTATCTTGTCTCCCCTTATACCGTTGTTTCTCCTCCTCGGTCTACAAAAGTGTTCGAGTAGTCACAGCCCTAAAACTAATCAGAACCCTTTCTGTGGTGCACCTTCGGCTTTGCCCCTCCATCGCGCTCCTTCTCACATATCCAAAGAGCAATCTGTCTTCATTTCTTATTCACAAAGACCATCTTTGACAAGCCTTTATACGCTTTCTGAACCTCATACATTCATGACATAATTGCTTCAGATAAGTCCCCCTGAGGTCCCCTGATTCTCAAACCCAGCTTCCCTTTCCTATCATCCTCACCTCTGACCCCACCATTCTCCCTGACCCCTGAAGACCTCTCCATTTAAGGGTAGCCAAGTGACAGTTGTGATCTCTGAGACATAAATAATTTTTTTTCTTTATGTAAGAACATGGCAACCTGCTTGTGTGTATTTTTCCCCTCCTCCTCTTTTTCATGATATGGGTGTTTTGTCTGCATTACATCTGTGAACCATTTGGGGGCTTGGTGCAGACAGAAGTAAGAAGAGTGTGACAGAGCCAGGTGATGGTGGCGCACTTGCACACGCCTTTAATTCCAACACTCAGGAGGCAGAGGCAGGTGGATCTCTGTGAGTTCAAGACCAGCCTGGTCTTCAGAGTGAGTTCCAGGACAACTAGGGCTGTTACACAGAGAAACCCTGTCTCATCCTCCCCCCAAACAAACAAACAGGAAAGAAGAGTGCAATAGGTTTCAAGCTGAACTGTGGGTGCTGGGTATCGAACCTGGGTCCTCTGGAAAAGGGGCCAGTGCTTTGAACCACTGAGCCATCTCCACAGCTGCTTGTTTTTCATTCTTCTTTCCTTTTCCTTCCTACCTGGAATATATTATAACAACCATCTTGTGATTTTAAAGGTGAGGGTCTAGATGCTAAAGATGGTAGTGGGAAAAGGAGAAAGATACTTGTTCCCATGTGACTTTGTTGATCTGTGGTGCCAGATCAACAAATCAATACCCATCAACTATTGGTGAATGGACCTCCTTTCTTTTCTCTTTCTTCCTTTTTTTATAAAGACAGGATCTCTCTATTATGCATCCCTGCCTGTCCTAGAACTTACTATGCAGATCAGGGTGGCCTTGAACTCAAAGAGATCCACCTGCCCTGCCATCCAAGTGCTGGGACTAAAGGCTTGTGTCATCATACCCAGCCCGTCTGTGATGGGGGATGTCCTTCTGTACATATGGTTTTCTTATTGGTTGATGAATAAAACACTGTTTGGCCAATAGAGGCAGGAAGATAGGTAGGACTAGGAGTCAAGGAGAATTCTGGGAAAGGTAGTCAGAGAGAGACCTCGAGGAGACACCATGTAGAGACCAGGAAGATAGGACATGCCAGGCATTCTCTGGTAAGATAAGGCCATGTAGAAATACATAGATTAATAGTTATGGGTTAATAATCAAGAGAAAGCTAGCCAATAAGAAGCCCTAGCCATCGGTCAAGAGTTTAACAATTAATATAAGTGTTTGTATGTTTATTCGGGGCAAAGTGGCCATGGGACCAGGCAGGACAAGAAACTCCAGTTACATGGCTGGCTTTTCTTTAGTACAGACAGATCACTTTTATTTATGGCTTCCACAAAGCATTGTCTCCTCATTTTGTTCCTTTTCCCCTTCATGACTCTTCCTTCATTGATCCCCAGGAGCTTCACCGGTCACCTCCTCCCCTTCTCCACTTCCCCCTTCCTCTCTTTGGGCTTTTTCCGGCAACTGCATTCACTTCCAGGGTCTTCAGTTACTCTCTTTCCCAAACCATATGACCTCCCTTAATCTCTGGTCTGTATTCAGAGACGTATTTATAGTCTCCCCACAGCTGTTGAATCCACATTCCAGACTCATTCTGTTTGTGTTAGTTGGTATTTTAAGATACAAACTTCAGCCATGAGGTGGTGGCGCATGCCTTTAATCCCAGCACTTGGGAGGCAGAGACAGGCAGATCTCTGTGAGTTCGAGGCCCTGGTCTACAGAGCGAGTTCCAGAACAGCCTCCAAAACAATACAGAGAAACCCTGTCTTGAAAAAAAATCTGAAACAAACAAATAGACAAACAAACAAAAACAAGCAAACAAACAAAAAACCACAAACTTCAGAGGGTGGTAAAAAGATAAATATACTTATACCAAAGATAAAAGATATAGAGTTGGTTTCTTTTATTGCTCTTATTGCTGCCCCTTGTTCTTCTTCCAGCAGAATCCACAGGTAGGAATGCTGCTGGCATCTGAAGGACATTGGGCTACAGCTGTTGTAGCATTCCTATTAGGTGTCTTGACACATAACAAACTGATTTCTATTTCTCTATAGAAATCATTTAGTTGGTTTTGCCCAGAACAGGTGTTCATACATGCTATACCCAAACCTTGAATGAACCTCAGAACTCTATGTATTATAGTTTTGGTCCCCATCTTGGCACTGTTGGGAGGTGATAGAAAAGTCTTTAGGTCACCAGGGGACTGCCTTCAAAGACAGTTGTGGAAAAGCCAGGGAGATGGCTCTATAGGTAAGTGATTATTGCTTGAATAAGGACCTGAGTTTGGATCTCCAGGTGGGTATGACAGCATATAGCTGTAACACTAATGTGGGTGGAGCTGAGGCTGGTGTGTGTGTGTGTGTGTGTGTGTGTGTGTGTGTGTGTGTGTGTGTGTATTGGAAACAGGCCTTGTGTGATTACATCTACAACCTAGCCAGGAGAGGCTGACTGATACAAGACATGCTGTTCTTTCCATTATATATATTTTAAATTTATTTAATTTTCTAAATTGTATCACTGTTTTGCCTTTGTTTATGTATAGTACCAAATACATGTCAGGCTCACAGAGGTTAGAAAAAGGTGTCAGATCTCCTGGAACTGAAGTTACAAATGGCTGTGAGCCACCAAATGAGTGCTGAGAATCAAGCCTGGGTCCTCTACAAGAGCAACTCTCCAGCCTCATGTTGTATTTTTATTTTTTGAGACAGGGTTTCGCTGTATTGTTTTGGAGGCTGTCCTGGAACTCGTTCTGTAGCCCAGGCTGGGCTCGAACTCACAGATATCCGCCTGCCTCTGCCTCCTGAGTGCTGGGATTAAAGGCTTACACCACCAATGCTCGGCATCATGTTGTATTTTTTATTTCAAAACATTTATTGGCTTCTTTATTATTTTGTGGGTATGTGCATGCCGGGAGGCTGTTCTCTCCTGTGGGATCTAGGAATTGAACTCAGGTGCTCAGATTTATATGGCAAATCTTTACTCATTGAGCCAACCCGTCAGCCCTCGGTATTGTTTACTGTTTAAAACATTTTCTAGAGGCTTTTTATACATTAAAGTACATGGGTTAACTTGGCCATGGATTTGCTGTTAAAACTGCAACTTTCTGCAGTGGTTCCCACTGAGAATTTGGAGAGAAGCCATTGAGGAATCTGTGTGAAGTGATTGTAACCTCTTGTTCCTCACAGAGACAGATGAAACTAGAACTAAAGCTCTAACTACCTAGTGTCTGACAGAGAGCTTGTTAGAGTTTACAACATATAGGAAGCAAAAATAATCTCATGAATTAGAGTCAGATTGGAATATGTGTTCATGTTCTCTGCAGTGTTTCTGAAAATTGTCATTGTTTTCTGAAGATTTTCTTCTCTCTCTCTCTCTTTCTCTCTCTCACACACACACACCACCACCACCACACTTAAATCTAGGTTCCACATATAAGAGAAAATTTGTGTCTGACTTATTTTATTTAGTGCTTTCCAGATCATTTTTTCCCTGCAATTGTCATGACTTCATTGTTCTTTCTGACTTTGTAAAATTCCATTGTGTATGTGTATCACATTTACTCCATCCATTCATCTGTTTATGGATATGTAGGCTGGTTCCTTTTTCTGGCTATTGTGTAAATAACATGGATGTACAAGTATCTCTATTGTATGCTTAAGAGTCCTTTGGATATGTAGTGGATCATTTTTATGTCAACTTGACACAAACTAATGTCATCTGAGAGGAAGGAACCTCAATGGAAAACATGCCTCCATAAGACCTGACTGCAGAGATGGTTCAGTGTTAAGAATACTGGCTGCTCTTCTAGAAGTCCTGAGTTCATTTTCCAGCAGCCACAAATGGTGACTAACAACTGTAGGAGATCTGATGCCCTCTTCTGGTGTGCATACAGACAAAATGTGTGTGTGTGTGTGTGTGTGTGTGTGTGTGTGTGTCTGTGTGTGTGTGAATCATTTAAATAAATACGAATTTAAACATCTGGCTGCAGGCAAACCTGTAGGGCATTTTCTTAATTATTGATTGATAATGGAAGGGCCCAACCCATTGTAGGTAGGGACACTTCCAGGCTAGTAATCCTGGGTGCTATAAGAAAGCAGGCTAAGCCGGGCGTTGGTGGCGCACACCTTTAATCCCAGCACTCGGGAGGCAGAGGCAGGCGGATCTCTGTGAGTTCGAGGCCAGGCTGGACCGACAGACTCCAAAACAGAGAAACCCTGTCTCGTAAAACCAAAAAAAAAAAAAAAAAAGAAAGCAGGCTAAGGTCAGACATTGGTGGCGCATGCCTTTAATCCCAACACTCAGGAGGCAGAGGCAGGCAGATCTCTGTGAGTTCAAGGCCAGTCTGGTCTACAGAGTGAGTTCCAGGACAGTCTCCAAAACAATACAGAGAAACCCTGTCTCCAAAAACAAATGAAAACAAAAGAAAGGAAGGAAGGAAGGAAAGAAGGAAGGCTAAGCAAACCATGAAGTGTAACAGGCTTTTTTGGATGGCCAGCCCCCAAATCATGACACAGAGACTTATTATTAATTATGAATGCTCAGCCTTAGATTTAGGCTTGTTTCTAGTTTTTTCTCTAAATTAACCCATTTCTATTTATCTCTGTGCTGACCTGAGGCTCGTTTACCTCATCTACTGTGCTGTTCATTCTGCTTTCTGCCTCCTCCATGTCTGGCTGGCTCACCTCCAGCTGGGCTGGCCCTGGGCTGGTTAGCTGGCTCCCCTTTTCTCTCTGCCCACCAACCAGCTCTCCCTCCTCTGCCTAGCTACTAGCCATTCAGCTTCTTTCCTTCCTTCCTTTTTCCTTTCTCCCTTCCTTCCTTCCTTCCTTCCTTCCTTCCTTCCTTCCTTCCTCCCTCCCTTCCTTCCTTGTTTTCTTGTTTGCTTTTGTTTTGTTTTGTTTTTTGTTTTTCGAGACAAGATTTCTCTGTGTAACAGTCCTGGCTGTCCTGGAACTCACTCTGTAGACCATGCCAGAATCAGATTCACAGAGATCCATCTGCCTCTGCCTCCCAAGTGCTGGGATCCAAGGTGTGTGTCACTACTGTCAGGTGGCCATTCAGCTTTTTTGTTTCTCAGCTTTTATTAGATCAGGCAGGTGCCATAGGCAGGCAAGATGAAACACCAACACATCTTTACATAGTTAAACAAATGCAGCAGAAACAAAAACAACACATCTTTACATAATTAAATGCAGCATGAACAGATGCAACACATCTTTACATAGTTAAACAAACGTTCTATTCACCAACAATGAGGAGCAAGCCAGTAAGCAGTACTCCATGGCCTCTGCAACAGCTGCTGTCTCCAGGTTCTTGCCTTGAGTTTCTATCCTGACTGACCTCAGTGGTGGACTGTGATATGGAAGAGTAAGCAAACCCAACCCTCTCCTCTCCAAGTTGATTTTGGTCCTGTTGTTTCATCACAACAATAGAAGCCCTAATCAAGACAGGGTGTACACCCAAGAAGACAGAACTTGGTCATATTATAATTTCTTCAGTTTTTTTTTTGAGGATGCTCCACACTGTTATCCTCTGATCCCTTGTATCAATCTCTAACCTTGAATTAAAAAAATAGATTTGTGTGTTTATTTTTAAATTTGTGTGTAGTCTTGTGGGGGATTACTTTTCTCCCACCAGGAATGTTCCCGTCACTAAGCTCAGGCCTCAGACTTCGAAGGTGCTTTTACTGACTGAATTGTCTCACTGGGCTTTACTCCTGGAATTTAAATTGTATGTGTGACTATAAATATAGACTTTAATGCTTGTGTAGAATAAGAAAGAAGGAGACGTAAGTCGAACCTTGGTAGAATGAGGGCAGGTCAATAGGCAGATGCACTTGTCACCTGCTGTAGGTCAGCGCCATTCTATCTGAGTGTACTTTAGCAACAACAGCTGAGGAGGGATGAGGCCCAGCCTTCATCTAGTTTGGTCCTTCCTCGGGACATCTCTGAGCATAAACGAGGGGAGTAAACTATTCCATCACATGTCTGTAAGTATTATGATCTTTCTCAGACAAAGATTATGAATTAAATGGTATCTCAATGCCAGGTGTGTAGTTAAAGGTAGAGCCATAAAATTGAATAGTCCCTTTGTCTTGGGATAGATAACCTCTCTCAAAGAGGAAAATGTCTTAGAAAGGATGGAGCAGTTTTAGAGAGGAAAAATGCATCATTCCAGGGTGCCCTATGGGATGAAAGAGTGTCTCAGATTCCCAAAGATATATACAATGGAGCCTAACTTTTGTAACTTCACCCAGAGCAATTTTAAGTCATGTAAAACTAAATACACATTCCAACCATTCAAAATGAGATACATGTAGTTAGCTCAAGCAGTTAACATGTAGAGTTTATAACTGGTAAGAAAATTAAACTTAGTTGAGCTTCCAGAGCGAAGGTCACGGACAAGATGGTGCTCCCAGTTCAGGTCTCTCCGCTCATCAAGCTTGGCAGATACTCAGCCCTGGTCCGCGGCATGGTCTATGGTGCTAAACGTTATAGTTACCTAAAACACCAGGCAGAAGTGGAGAGGAGGGGGGCAGAGAAGGAAAAGAAGAGACTAGATGAGCTGAAACGGATTGAGAAAGATCTCGCAGAAGGTGACACCATACTCAAGTGATGCGCCCATGAACTTGCCTTTCTTTAGCCTCTGAGGATGAATAAAGCTTTGTTGTGTGATGGAAAAAGAAAAAAGGAAAAAAAAAAGAAAATTAAACTTGCCGGGCAGTGGTGGCGCATGCCTTTAATCCCAGCACTCAGGAGGCAGATGCAGGTGGATCTCTGTGAGTTCCAGACTAACCTGATCTACAGAGTGACTTCTAGTACAGCCTCCAAAGCCACAGAGAAACCCTGTCTCGAACCCCCCCAAAATTAAACTTTAGTCTATGTTTTTCAAATGTAAGAGTATTTCATATAATGTGTTTAATTTTAGAAAATTTCGTACAACATATCTTGATCATATTCACTCCTCACTCCCCTCCAATTCCTCTCAGATCCACCCCATCCTCCACCTCCTTGTGTCCTTTCTCTTTCAGTCATTTATTTTTTGGACGACACTGTCACAGCAGTTGTCTTGGTCCCCTGGCTCCTATAGTCTTTCTACCCCTCTTCTACAATGTTCCCTGAGCCTTAAGTGTAGGGATTGAATTGTAAATGTATTAATTAGTGCAGGCATCCCAAGGTTCCAAAGTAAGAATATTTAAACAGATGTCTTTTAGATGCGTTTATCTACCTACCTACCTACCTACCAACCTATCTGTCTGTCTGTCTGTCTGTCTGTCTGTCTGTCTGTCTGTCTATCTATCTATCTATTTCCAGACAGCCCTGACTGTCCTGGAATTTGCTCTGTAGAGCAGGCTGGCCTCAAACTCACAGATCTGCCTGTCTCTGCCTCCCAAGCGCTGGGAGTAAGGGCTTGTGCCACCATGCCGAGCTCATACTTATTTACTTTTTAAAAAGATTTATATTCTTATTTTATGTGTGTGAATGTTCTGTCTGCATGTTTATCTCTGCACTGCATGAATGCAGTGCCCAAGGAAGCCAGAAGAGGGCATTGTGGAGTTATAGATGGTTGTGAATCACTCTGTGCCTGCTGGGAATTGAACCAGGGTCCTCTGGAAGAGCAGTTAGAGCTCCCCTTTTTCTCCAGCAGCCAGAGCTCTTAGGCCCTGAGTCGTCTTTCCAACCCTAGATGTGTTTCTTATCGAAAATATAGGTTGGATTATGTGATGGCTATTCTTGGGTATCCATTTACTATATCTGGAATTAATTAATACCCAAGCTGCTGGAATACCTGTGAGGGATTTTTCTTCATTGAAACATCTGAGGTAGGATAACCCACCCTAAATCGAGATCATACAAGGTAGGAAGACTTACATTAAATCTGGGCCATACCTTCTAGTGGCAGCCTATATAAAGGACATGGAAGAAAGAAGTAGCTTTTGCCTGCTCACCTTCACTCTTGCTGGCAAGTTCATTCCCGTAGAACTGACTTCTTTGGGATTCTGATGTAGACTGAAGACCAGCTGAGACATCCAGCCTTGTGAACCAAACGATGGCTGGATTCTTCGACCTTCTCTTAGGAGATAGCTATTTGTCAGACTAGCTGGTCGAAAGCCTGTAAGCCACCCTGATAAATTATATATAAAACCATATATATATATATATATATATATATATGAATTCAAAGCTGGTACCACTCTGATAAATCCTATTTTTATATATGTATAAAATACATATAGTCCTGTATATATACTATACCTATAATCCTGTTTATATACATATATATGAAATAGAGCCTATTAACCACCCTGATAAATCTCTCTCTCACATACACACATAAATCAAAGCCTGTAAGCCGTTGTTTATATATATATAATATATACAATCCTGCTTATATATATATAATAATCGAAGTCTGTAAACCACACTGATAAATCATATATATATATATGTATATATGATATATATAATACTGCTTATATATAAAATAATCAAAGCCTATGAACAATTCTGGTAAATCCTGTATATATATATATGTATATATATATATATGATATAAATATGCACACACATTAATTGTATTAGCTCTGTTTCTCTAGAGAACTCTGACTAAAACAGTGTTTGGTAGCTAGGTAAGGTGTTAACATGTTCTCAGGACATGGCAACTGGACCTCTGTCTCATAAGCAAAGGTCTATAACTGAGGACTATGATCACTGGCCAGCAGAATGGGGCCCCTGTCATCTCTCTGCCACTGGAAGGAGACATGACACCTGAACTTCTTCTTGGAAAGTTGTTAATAAATAACTCTGCAAGCTCAGTTCCAGAATCCCTAAACTTTATGCTTACTGGATAGCAGAAGGCTTTCTACCTTTGAACCTTACCTGCCGCTCCTATGAAGGAGACTTTCTGGTAAAGAACAAAGACTTACCATTGCCCGTCTGTAAGAGTTAAATCAAATGGGTCTGCCAATCACCTGGGTAGGACAAAGTCCCTCAGGAAGAGCAGCTTGCTCTAGTCAATTAAGGAATAGAACAAAGCCTGCCATCTTCATGGTCTATAAGATGGTGTTCTTTTTGTTTTGTTTTGTTTGTTTGTTTGTTTGTTTTTAAGCAGGATCTCCTGTAACCCAGGCTGGCCTTGAACTCAGTATTTAGCTAAGGATATTCTTGGACTCCTTATCATCCTTTCTCTACCTCCCAAATGCTGAGGTTACAGGCAGGCTTGCACCATCATGCCTTGTTGTAATGGTTAATTTTCTTGACTAACCTAATGGGGTTTAGAATGACCTCAGAGACAAACCTGTGAGGATGCTTCCTTAGAGGTTAAACCTATCCTTTTGTTGGCAGTATCATTCCATGGGCTGGGGTCCCAGACCTAATATGTAGGAGGGAATGGGGGCTGGAGAGATGGCTTGGTGGTTAAGTATACAAGCTATCCTTGCAGAGGACCTGAATTTGGCCACCATCACCCATGTTGGGGGCTCACAACCACCTGTAATTCCAGCTCTAGGGACTGAGACAGCCTCTTCTGGGCTCTGAGGATGCCGGCCATTATACGCACATACCCCACCCCCACCCCCACCCCACACAGACACATAATTTTTAGAGGCTCATAAAAACAAACATTTACAAAGGAGAAGAAAGTTAGTGATACACCCTCATCCATCATGTCTGCTTCCTGATTGTGAACAAGCTGTGACCTGCTGACTCATATTCCTGCCATCATGCCTTCCCACCGTAAAGGAGTATCCTCTCTAGCACGAGCCAAAATAAGCCTGCTTTTCTTCATTGCTCATAGCAGTGAGAAATGTAACTAGCATGCTTCCTTTAGCTCTGGTCCACTCTCACTCTTGAAAATTCTTTACATTTCCCTGTAATAAGCATTTTACACTAAATTCTGTGTCTCCTCTGAAAATATTTGACTTGAGATCACAAGAGCCAGTAAAATATCCCTGTGACAAATGCAGTGATTGTAAAATGATATTAATAAGTTCATGTTTAAGATTTTGTTCTTTAAAAAGTATTTATTTGAGCTGGGTGGTAGTGGCACATGTCTGTAATTCCAGCACTCGAGAGTCAGAGGCAGTCAGATCTCTGTGAGTTCAAGGCTAGCCAAGGCTACACAAAGAAACCCTGTCTTGAAAAACAAAAACATTATGTTTTTCTTTTAAAATATTTTAATTAATTAATGTGTGTATCAGTGTTTTGTTTTGTCTGCATGTAAGTGCTTGATATTCATGCAGTATATAAAGTGCCCAGAAGGAGCATCGTGGAGTTTTGATGTCTGTGAGTAGCCGTGTTGGGTCTGGGAACTGAACCCAGGTTCTGTGGTCTGTTTGGGAGAGCAGTCAGTGTTGTTAACTCCCGAACCATCTTCCAGTCCAAGATGCTGCCTTTTTTTTTTTTTTAAAGATTTATTTATTATGAACACAACGCCCTGCCCCCATGTACGTCTACACACCAGCAGAGGGCACCAGATCTCATTACAGATGGTTGTGAGCCACCATGTGGTTGCTGGGAATTGAACTCATGACCTCTGGAAGAGCAGTCAGTGCTCTTAACCTCTGAGCCATCTCTCCAGCCCCCCCAAGATGCTGCCTTTTTGCTGCTGGTACTCTTGTTATTTTGTAGGTAGGAGCCTGTAATTCATCTATCCAAAGCCAGAATTATGCCACAAAGGTCCGATTTTGAAAAACCCGGAGTGTTATGTGATGTCAACAGACCTTCCGTACCTGAGAGGATGTCCCAAATAAAGCATACAGAAGCCCATTGAGTGCTGAAAAAGTGCTCAGCTGCACTAGTAATCATAGAGACTAAATGTAAATCAATGACAGGCAGTTTTCACCTATCGCCTTGACAATTTTGCTGAGGGTGGTGAACTTAGTGATTGATCACTCTCATTTCCCTTACCTCACTTTTCCCATCATTGGAAATTAAATAACCCAGAGCTTAAGGTATAAATCATTGCAGTGAATTTCATGATCATTAGAGGAAGCTGTTTTTGAAACTTCTAAATTGTGGAAGTAGAGGCGAATTTTACTCTAGTTCCAAACCTATGGTTTTACTCTACAAAGACATTAAGAAATTAGTTTTATGGGGGTGGTGGTGGTAGCGCACATCTTTAATCCCAGCACTCAGGAGGCAGAGGCAGGAGGATTTCTGTGAGTTCAAGGCCAGCTTGGTATTACAGAGCTAGTTCAGTCCCTTGCCTCTGATAGATCTAAGTATTCAGTACTTAAATGTGGATGAAGAGACAAGTGGAAGGTTGGTGGCCAGTACCTTAGAGTCACCCTTAGTTTAGGACAACTTCTGTAAGAAGTGTCTGGAGAAAGGTATGTAGACTTTTTATCTTTTTATTTTTTATTGATTCCCAGTTCCTCCACATCTGCCCCTCACCTTTGTAGTGTCCCCGAAAAAGAAAACTAAAAAAGAAATAATAAAAATAAGATAAAAAGAAATGATAATATTGAACAAATAATTAAAAATACAAATAAGAATATCAATTTCAATTAAAAAGCAAACAAACCAGCAAAAATAAACAAGCATGCAAACAAAACAAAACAACAATAGCAAGGAAAATCAAAAACTAAAAACAAAGCACTTTGCTCCTCCATCTTTGCCTCGCCGTTGTCTCTTCTTTCATCTTAGTGGTACTGGGAGCTGCCGTGTATCATGCAGTATACCCTTTCATCCAACAGCTGTCCTTGCAAGCGTGCATTGCATAACGTGTTGTTGGT